TTTTGCACTCTTTTAAATGTATGCTGATTTTAATTAAAATAACTGCAGTAATTATTTATTGTACAGTAATAGGAATCGAATAAAAAATAGCTAATTTTGCTAATTCACAAATTTTTATTTAATTAAAATTAAAATGTTTACATGCAATACAGTAATATGATTTTGTGGTTTAAATGTATTATATTATATTATATTTCTTTTTTTTATTTGGGAAAAATATAATGTGAACATGTTCTTTTGTTAGAAAAGTTTATGTAAAAGAGCAGTGACGTAACGTGGCGGCTGCTAATGAGAGTGAAGGCAACTGAACACAAACACCAACAATACAGCCACATGGGAGAAGCAGTGCACCCTGGGAAGGGTACGAAGAAGAGATGGGTCTCCTGAGGTTCACACACTCACTCTCTCTTTACGTCAAGGGTCACAGGTTCAACCGTCAGCCGTGTTTGCACTACTCCACACCTTTATCAGGCACTGGATCCTGGAGATGGCTGCTTTCCACAGATCAATGAGAGGAAAGCAGGCAGAAATCAAGCACACGATTGGCTGCACTTTGAAAGCTTGTGGGTGAACCAGAACTTTGAAGTGCTAATCAGTGTTTCATGCAGCAAATACGATACAGAGACAAGAGAAAACCAAGTCCCTTAATTGACTAATGATAAAACAACTGGGTAATTAGAAAAGAGAGCAAGCTCTGTTAGCTCTCAAACACACACACACACACACACACACACACACACACACACACACACGTCTGAGCATCATGTGTGTCTGAATATGGCTGTGAAGCAGAAAGAGCAGCATCGATCTTCAGCGGGAGGATATCCTTCTGATAAGAAGGCTTAGACACTGAACACACACACACACACACGCCTCCCACTATTCATTTGCCTGAAATCCAGACACTTCTAGTTATGCAAGCTTGATCACTGTGTACCAAAACGTCGGTAAACCACATACTGCATTTACAGAATTGCCACGAGATGCTATAGACCACATTAGCGTAAACCATCTACTTCTACTGTATAGTCAGTTTTCACTTTAAAGTCTTACTTTTACTGTGAGAGCGGAAAACAGTTTGAAGAAAAGCATATTAAGGTTGTTAGTTAAAGTTAGTCAATTTCATGTTTTCAGGAGCTCCATAAAACACCTAATAATATAAATAAAATATTAATTACATAGATTAGAATATAATAATTGAATATATGTGTTGATATATACCATAATATAAATTATTATAATATAAAAAATAAGATTGTATTCTGAATGTGTGTTTGTGTGTGTGTATATAGACACACATTCATATACGTGAATATAATTTAATTATTAATATTATTTTATTTATATTAGTAGATGTTTTCATACAGTTAGTTTTCACTTTATGGTCAACTTGAATCTTGTTGAGCATGTTAGTTAAAGGTAAAGTCAAATTCATGCTTTCAGAAGTCTACTGTATACAAGAAAATTATATAATATTATTTATTTAAATATCTAAATTGTTTTATTTACATTATGAAATAATTCCAATTTATATGTTGCTCACAAAAATTTTTTGGAGGACAAAATCTTTATTAATTTTAGTTTTAATGATTTTAGCACACCAAGTTAAAACAAACTAAATTAAAATAAGAAATGCTCCCTTGACAACTAGCTGAAATACATTTTTTTTTTCAAATATATTTTATTTTATATCAGTTAACGTTTATTTGATTGAAGATCAAGTTTATTTCAAATAAGATATTTTTTATGGTTTTAGTTAACTATAATAAGCCCGACTCACTGTCACTGGAGAATGCACAAATGGAGTAGTGCATTAGCTGAACCTTCGTTTAAAGCTGGGTCTCTTCACCTATTGTTACTGCTCCATGTACAACAGGACCAAACACTGCGTTTGCATTAGTATTTGCGCATATAAAAACACACACAAGATGCTCACTAAGAATGTCGATTCCACACACACAAGCGTTCTTTCCTCTAGTGCATTGTTTGCGCTATCAGTTCACGGTCTCGCACTTCTCCCAAGGCCCAGTGCATTATGGGAAGCGCCCTCACTGGCCCAGCATGCTCTGACAGCTCTATTGTGAGACACGCTGACTGACAGCTGATTTCTAAGGTCATGTTCAGCCTCATGTAAGGCCTGACGTGTATTACGCTTTAACGTATGTCTCTGTCAGCACCTAATAGTCTAAACTGCTCTCCGGCAGTCTAGTTTTACCTCAGTGGCTTTTCACTCAAATCCCCTCATGGAAACGATGGACGGCCGCTAACGCTACGGATGGAAGTGCCATCCTACTGATGGCCCGCGATGCCACGGTGCAGAGAGACCCGATGGAAAGAAAAGGACTCGAGAGTTTCCTCTCTGTCGCAGGCAAAGGCAGAAATAGGTGGAGGTTAAACTGCTGGGAATGAATGAAGCACCGAGGGACAAACGCACGGGCTTGGAGAACAGAAACACGTCAGTACAGACGTCACACTACTCCCTGCTCTCACCCAGCCGTGAAGAGAACTAGATAAAAGTGCAAACACATTAGCATATGTGCGCGCACACACACACACACACACACACACACACACGCTGGGGAGTTCCAGAATATAAAAATAGTAGACTCACACACAAAATAATCATTCCTTCTGTCATTCTGGGTCATGTCATGCCATCATATTCTACGGAGTAATAAATTATCCATTATATATATTATAAAATTGATAACATTTTATTATAATTTTATGATAAGATCCCAATAGTTGACAACTAAGCTTAACTAACAATGACAATACATTATTTAGTTCATTGTTAACTCAGGTCTATTAAATAATGTTAACAGAAACAACTTTTAATTTTAATAATGCAGTAGCAAATTTTGAAAATAACATTAACTAAGAGTGCTTTAGAATTATTTTTTTAATTGTTAGTTCATCATGTTAAATAACATAGTTAACTAACATTAACAAATGGAATCTTACTGCTACCATAAAATCTATATTATGAAACATGTTTTCTTAAAAATATTCTTTTAACTGAATCAGTTCATACATTTTTTCTTGTTTCCAATATAATTTTTAATTCGGGTACATTATTGTTATTATTATTATTATTATTATTACATTTTCTTAAAATATTATTTTAACTGATAATCAATTCATTTTTCTTGTTTCCAAAATCAATATTGGTACATTGTATGTATCCAATATTTGGGTACATTATTATTATTATTATTAATATTATTTTTATTATAGAACATAGTAATAATATTACATTAAAAAGTACACACAAGTCATTAACTCCAAAGATGGGATCTTAATAAAATAAAACAAATAAATAAATTTCACAAGAGACCAAATACAGATTTATAGTACTTTACCATAGATATATTAGAAAATCTATATTGTAAAACATGTTTCCTAAAAAAAAATATTTTGGCTTATAATCAATTCATAGGTTTTTCCTGTTTCCAATACCGCTTTTCATCTTGGTAGTTCTTTTTTAAATTTTGTATTATTTTTATTTTTTATTAAAGGGGTCATATGATGCTCTCTCTCTCTCTCTCTCACACACACACACACACACACATACACACACACACGTGCGCGCACGCACGCACACACACACACACGATGCGCAAAACTCCGCATTTGAACAGTCAATAGCAAATACTTAAACTAATAACAAAACAGTAGCTGATTCAGAAGCGCCAGATTGTCATAGCAAAGTCAGAATTACCTCCTCTCCTAGGTTCACGAAACGGTCGTCCATAAAATGCATTGCTGTTCTGTTGTAAGTAATCTTAAAGATTCCTAAATGCATCTACTTTCGGAAGGCCAAATAAAGTGCTTTTGCTTTCACCTAGAAACACACAGCGTCTCCCTGACATGGCTGCTTCAACACTAACTGCGGTTACTGAAACCACGCCTTCTTTCTTTGCGTGCACATTTGGGCCGCATTATGCTAATATTGCCACATAGTGAGGTAGATATGTGGGGGCGTGTTAGAACGAGCCGTTTTAGGGGGGCGTGGCAGAGTCTTAACTTTGATAAAGAATATCTCTTTGGTTTTGAGACTTTAGTCTTTGCAACTTCAGGGATCTTATCTATGCACAATCAGCTTGTAACACTCCAAAGAGAAAGGAAAACTTGAAATCACATCATATGACCCCTTTAAAGAACAGCAAAGTCACTAAAGTCATAGATGGGATTTAAAAAAAAAACATTCACAACATGCCAAACACAGATTCATAATACAAACAGACAGACATTTTATCCTGGCAGTCCTTTACCAACATCATCCTCCAGAAAGTGACATCATTTTGGTGGGAAAACATATTTTAGCATGAAAGAATGTTTCTGATGCACATCCTTAAATTACACAAGCATATTAATTTTTTTTGAAGTTCAAAGGAGCAGCAGAGCAGGCCAAGTGTGATGATGTCACTAGGATGTTTAATAGACCTCATATCCCGGTTACAAGCACGGGGTCACACACAGGTCACCAACTCACAGACTCATTTACATTGTAGTCATAATGAATAATCAGAAATCTAGCAACAAAACAAACAACCCACAGGCCCCACTTTCACCCCAAAATCAAAAGAATAGATTAGAAATTATATTTTGCATAAAGAACACTTCTGGACAATTAAGACAATTGTGAGACATCTTTTTTTTTTTTGACAATTAAGCAAAAATTAACTGCAAATTGTCATTAATGCAATGCTATACTAGCAAATATACTAGAGTGAAAATGATTTCACCACCAATTTTTTTTGTGTAGTATTTCCAATGATTCTTCATCAACAATTATTATTATTATTTTTATTATTAATAAACTTGAATAATCTGAACTAAAAGGCAGTTTTATATATATATATAGAGAGAGAGAGAGAGAGAGAGAGAGAGAGAAAGAGATAGAAAGAGCGAGGGAGAGAGAAATATGACCCAGATATGTTCTTTCAGATTCACTCTCAGACGTTCATCAGCTCTTTTTCAATCATCCAGACACTGACCTGAGATCCTCGGGCGCCTCTTTTGTGGTCCCATTCTTGCTGTGGGAGCATCTGTGGACAGACAGACTGGATGTTAAAGTCACACACATACGACGGTGCAGCACATATTCCATTCACCATTCACTATTCAGCATCTAGTGAGGCTACGCGCACTACCTCGCTCACTAAAAATACAGCACAGAGAGAGAGCGAGAGAGAGGAAGTATCAGGGCTCCAGGGATTCCTCTCTCTCTCTCTCTCTCTCTCTCTCTCTCTCTCCCCTCCTCTCTCTCTCACACACTTTCCATTTTGTTCAGTGACACACGCTCATAATTCAATTTCACAGTCAGGCTGCCTTTACTCGCCGCTCTTCACCACTTAACAGCTTCTCAAAGGTTGTAAACTTTACACACTCTAATTAACAGACAGTAGGAGGTTCCCGCAGGCAGCTTCGTTGGCTCGAGAGTCGCACGTAAAAATGTGTCGGATGCAACAGAATAGCACCCTGTCTGAGAAACACCAGAGGACGAGATGCTGGGGAGCACGGGACGCCCTTTCAACCCCACCGAAATAGCCTTAGGACTTGAGCCTGGGAAACTGGACTTTTATAAATAAAATGCAGAATATTTTCCTTTGGTTTGAAGGGAGAGGAAGCCAAACAAATGGCATTCTGGCTGGGTTTATTGTATACAGCGGGACAGGCTGTAAATCAAGGTACTTGCTTCCACATCGGCCACTCTCAGACCTGTCAACTCCCTGGTACACGATGTGACCTGGCACCGCATGGAAACACGGACAACAGGACTACAGGAGATTTTACAGCTGGAGAATATCTTAATAACTTTAAATATATTCTCCCAAGTTGAGGGAAACAGTCAAAAGACAAAAGCAATAGTTCACATTTGATACATATGTAATCTGCACTATAAAAATACATGAGATTTATAGCAAAAAAAAAAAAAATGCTTGCCAAAACGTTACCATGAAAAATATGGTACTGACATTTTAGGTTTTACGGATTGAACTTTACATCTAACAAAATTTGCATCTAAAAAACTTTTATTTTAAATAATTATAAACGTTTATAAATTGTTATTTTTGTAATCCATGTTGATGTAATATTTAATATTTTTATTTATTTATTTTTTAGTTATTTTAGGTCTATCAATGGATATCTTTGATCATATATATATATAAAAATGAAAAAATACAATAAGTCCAATGTACAACAACAACAACAATAATAACATTAACAATAATAATTATTAATGTTATTATTTATATTTAATGTTATTATAATAAATAATTTTATAATGAACTGTACTAAGCGAGTTTAACTTTACAGTAAATTTACACAAAATCTTTTTATATATTTTATTTATTTATTTTAGATCTATTTATGGATATTTTTAATCAAATATAACAAAATAAAAAATAGAATTAAATAAAAATATATTTTAGAGTTCCATAATAATAATATTAATAATTTTGATTTAATAGATTAAATATCATAATGATATTATAATATATTATAAAAATATATTGAACTATATTAAACTATTGAAGTACTATAATCTGTTTTGTACCTTTATATCACAGACAACCATCAAAAAACAACAACAATAAAGTCATGTCATTATTCAAAAGTAGCTTTTTCACAAGCTGAGGAAAATACTAATATTAAAGGGGTCATATGATGCTATTTCAATTTTTCCTTTCTCTTTGGAGTGTTACAAGCTCTTGGTGCATAAAGAAGATCTGTAAAGTTGCAAAGACTAAACAAAGTTCTAACACGCCCCCACGTCTACGTCACGATGTGGGAAGATTTGCATGATAGCTGGCCAATCAGAGCACACCTCGCTTTTCAGACTGATGAGCTTTGTAAAAATCGACGTGTTTCAGAAAGGCGGGGCATACAGGAGAAACAATAATGTACAGTATGTGGAAAATAATGTGTTTCTTGAACTTTAAACCACATAAACACATTCATTTCATTACACCAAATAATGTTTTTTTTAGCAACATCATATGACCCCTTTAAAGATGCACATTATACACACAAATACAAAAAAAAAAACACATTGACACTAAAATAATGCAATAAACATGAGTTTAACAACATAAGATGTAACAAAAACCCCTAATGTAAATAAGTGATTAGTAAAAAAACTAAGAAACTAAAAGATGACTTGTTCTTCTCAAATGGAAAATATTTGATGCCTTAAAATAAGTTTTTCTTTGCACATCTGAAGTAAATACCATGGTACATGAATATAGCTATCATGATACCAGCACTGTACTTTTCTGAAAGTTTCTTTCTGTCTTTCACCCAGCAGCATGATATTTTGACAGGCTGGAAATGGTTCTGTTGTTAACTCAGTGTCAATCAGAGGAATCTTGGCCAGGTTACATAATGTTACGTAAAGGCTCTCTGGCCGAGGGTCAAGCCGTGTCCTCAACTGCGGCTTTAGGAAACCAATGACTGTCATTCATGACATTGCCATCATGCATTCATTCATTAGTTCGATCACTTGCTAGTCAAAAAGGCTTTTCAGGTTCTTAAGAGGCCTAAAACACAATGCTGTTTCTATTCATACATAAGGATGATTCACAAACCATTTGTTCTTTTAGATTGGTTTGGCAATAACACTACAAGGTTATATGTTGAAACAATACACGAACAATTATGCGTGCAACAAACACATTCAAAATGTGAGTTAGAGTGACATTATGAAACAGGAACTTTATATTATAAGCAAAAACAAATCAGGTTTTTAATTTGTTCATTAAACAAATCATTTGAACAAACTGCTTATCTAAAATGAATCAGATTTCACAGTAGGTATGAAATGTATCTTAAAGGAATAGTTCACCCAAACTTGAAAATTTGCTGAAAATGTACTCACCCTTAGGTCATACAAGATGTAGATGAGTTTGTTTCTTCATTGAAAGATTTGAAGTTTGAAGTTAAAAACATCTTAATGATCGATTTCTTAAAAACACACAGCTTCTCTTGGCTTCTCAAGATGTTAACTGATGGACTGGAGTGGAGTGGATTACTTGTGGATTATTGTGATGTTTTTATCAGCTGTTTGGACTCTCATTCTGACGGCACCCATTCACTGCAGAGATCCATTGCTGAGCAAGAGATGTAATGCTACATTTCTCCAAATCTGTTACGATGAAGAAAAACTCATCTACATCTTGGATGGCCTGAGGGTGAGTATTTTCAGCAAATTTTCATATTTGGATGAACTATTCATTTAAAAAGTGTTTCAGTAAAAGTTATTTAACAACAACAAACATTATATAGATCCACATCTGTTGTTTTCCTTCAGTTATGACCATTATTAAATTGGAAAATAATACAAACATCCGTAAAGTTGAATAGGCAAGTAATTTTAGTTAAGATCAAGCTTCAGGACAGGTGTATCTGCAGTCACAACAAAACACCTTCAGCAGGCAATAGCTTCCACTAGGACAAAACACATTTTCAGACAACTTCCCCAGAGAAACACTTTGAAAAGTCAACATGGCACAAGCAAAGTCTTGAGGCTTTCCAAAAACCTGCCAGCCTTTCTGGTCTGGGGTTTATTTCACCGAAACGGCAGTGTGGCATTTAGCTGCTATATTAATAACAGAGTCTGACGTAGATCCACCCTCATCTACCGCTTTTAAAATCATTAAACTATTCATAAAACAGAGGAGAATGGGCAGAGCAGAGATTTTCCAAAGGTATTTCAAAGGCTTTCCTGCTCACCGCGGCCAGCGCCGTCACTCACTCAAATCTGCCTTTATTTACAGATAACTGAACTTTCACTTTACTTGCCCTCCATTTTAAAGCAACAGAAAGATATTTGCAAACACAAAACAGCACCGAAAATTGGATTTAACAGCATCTTAACAAATATTTATCCTCCCCGCTACAAAAGCGATGCTCGCTAGAGAGGATTTCTCAAGGGACCGACACTAACGGGCCGTGTTAATGAGATTTCTCTTTATTCAGACGTCATTGTAGCGAGGACAGACAATAATCTGCCATTAATAACCGAGCTCTCCATTTTCTAAGTGAAAGGGGTGAATGGAGGAGAACTAGTCGTGACAGAGAGGCGCAGCTCTCAGAGGACTAAGTGACAGATGAGGCAATCCTCATAATAAGGTGCATGATGCAGCAGCGCTTTAATATTGCATGAACAAGCTCCAGCCGGCAGTCCCGCTAGCAGCAAAGACTCACTCTTCCCGCTTTCGCGCTAACTATTTCTCCATCTCTCCAGTTGTGTTCAGAACGACATACTACCCCTCCACTGCTATTTCTGCATGCTGTGCACAGTGTGTGAATTTTCTCTATGAATGGAGTGAGTATCTGGCAAGTAGTATGCACTGCATGGGACTGTAAACTATCTTTTTAATGTATTATATCATATATAATTTACTTATTTCTTCTTCTTCTGATTAAATGTAATTTAAAGGACTCTAAAGTATCTTTTTATTGACAGTTTTTATTATTATTTAATATTTAAAACATCTAATATAATAATAATAATCATTATTATTATTATTGTTTTTTTTTTATTTTACATTAGAATAAAAATGCAGAAATAGAGTCCCGTAACTTATTAAATAAATCACAAGACTTTAAAGTATCTTTTTATTGCCATTTTTTTCTACACTGGATTTAAAAAAAAAAGTACATTATAAAATATTGTATTATTATAATTATCATCATCAATTTTGGGTATATATTTATTGGCAGTTTTACAACACGACATTTGATAAAAAATAACCATAAATAGATCTAAAAATAACCCAAAATAAACAAACACAAAATAAAATAATTTATATGTTTATAACTATAAAAATTGTAATATTTGCTGTTCGAAAAAAAAAATGCATAGGCCCATGACACATTTTCACAGTCTCTGTTTATAAAACAGTAAGCCGTATGCAGCATAGTATGCAGTAAGCATTACACTAGTCTTCCATTCAGGATGTTTTTTGGAAATCTGTCAGGGTCACGTGACCTCCCTCAGCTGCGGCAGCTAAAAGCAGGACTTGAGACGCATCTCTCAGCC